CCCCGCCCCGCCCCGCCCCGCCCGACCGCTCCGGCCTTGCAGCACGTGTTTGACCTCGCGGGGTGATGGCAGGTCTCGCTCGCCCTCCTTGATCAGGCTCCGCGCCTTGCTGGCGTCCACTTCAGGCAGTCCTCGAGGGTTTGCGGACACCTGCGCTCGTTTGCAGGTCAGTACTTGTTCAGAGCAGTAGGAGGCCAAAGAGCCCAGAAAGGCAACCTGGGAGCAGCGGCCGTTACCCAGGATGGATGGCAGGTGTCCCCATTCCTAAACTAGCCCCTTCTCGACTTCACCTTCAGCACCAGTAGAGCCAGCCCCCAGCTCCTCCATCCACCCATCTCTTTCCTCCCTTTGTCTTGAGTCACAGGTCCTGGAACCAAAAGCTTTCTACAAAGACTGAAGGGCTCCACCCATCACACTGAAGTAATCCCCCTAAGACAACGAGGCCTTGCAGGAAAAGCCCCACCTGTTAGCACTTGAAGCGAACCCTACTTTTGCCACTGCCATTTCCCAAAGCCACTAGTCCAGTCCTTTGCCCCTTTGAATTTGATGTGTTTGAACAGACTTCTAGAATGTGGTCTTCAGGGTGCCCTAGCTACTCTTTAAGAGCAGGAAAGGAAATAGCCTATCTAGAATGTACCCTTTTAAATGTCCCCACTGGGGCCAGTGAGCAAGGCGCTGCAACCTCAGCACCTCCCTCTCAGAGTCCATCAATTGCATTTTTCAAACACTAGTCCTTGCATTATCTCGCTTTCAAAAGCAACACTGAATTCTCAGATTGACAGTCATGTTACTTCACTCCTAGACTATGTAACTGGATGCACAGAAGGTTGGGGGAAATCTGCTTGAGAAGCTTTAACTGCTAGCAGGTTCTTTCTCTTAAACGCCTTATTTGATGTCATCAGCTTGACAAGCGCCACCATGATTCCATCTGCTAAAGCTTCAATCTGAGAGCAACCTGAAGCACAGGCTTCATGCCGTGCGGGATGACTTTCACCTCATGACAAGCTCTGCACACTGACCGGGTCTTATATGCCTTTCTGCTTTCAAAACCACTTGTGCTTTTTAGGGTCCAGGGGTGCAGCTGAGGCTTGGATTTGCCCCTTTCATTGCATTAAGACTAATTAAAATAAATTTAAGGCAGATAAGGCCATTTTCTATTTAAGAAACACCTGCCGGCCTCCCTGGAGGTACAGGCATTGAGTCTCAGCACTATGAACCTATCGCAGCCACTGCAGTATGAGTTTGATCCCCACCCCCAGGGCACAGCAGACCTCTCCTGTCCCCGATGCTCCCCTCAGCAGTGTGTTTTGCAGTACGAGTTTGATCCCCGGCCAGGGAGTGACCCACAGGGTGCAGCAGACCTCTCCTGTCTCCCCGCTGCTCCCCTCAGCAGTGTGGTTAGTCGATCTGCCTGTTCAGCTCCCCACTTTGTCTCTGGTGAATCTGCTCAAACCCCTGCACCTCTGGCCTACGTCCCAGTTCTTATGAGCATAAATAAATAAATCTTTTAAAAAAAGAAACATCTTCACGCCCTAACAAAGCAGCTCCCCTTAACTGAGAACATCACAAGCCAGCACCCATGATGAGGGTTTCCTTGTGCGCTTGTCACCATGAGCTCGGAGGCAGAGAAAATCTCTAAAATCAAAGAAGACTTCACAATATGCCTTTATTGGTTAGTTTAAACATGTATTTTGTCCTTAAAAAGCTATTATTACCAATAGCTTTTCTCAGATAGTTCTTCAGGTCTAAGAGAAGGGGAAAACTTAGCCCTTGTAATAAAAAAAATCCAAACAAGGCATGGGATAAAACAGTCCACGGTTAGATCATCACAGCGTGGCTCCCCACGGCTCTCCCAGACATGCTTCTACCATGCGACAGCCTGGCCCCGCTGTGCCACAGAGCTGCCCATTCATTCATAGATTCTCCGAGGCTCCTGCAGCACCACGCCCCCTTCTGTCATAGCGTTCTGGAATCGTTTAATCTGGTTTGGAAGATCAGAAAAGAGGGAAAAGACTGAGTGAGCACCACAAGTAAGTGGCCAGTGAGAGCCCCCCACCCGCAAAGTAAGCTGATTTGCCCCCCATCACCACCCCTGCCAGCACTGGTTTTTCAGAAAGTGGTCCTAGTGACATAAGAAAAAAGAGTTTGCAGTCAAGATGTTACTACATGAACCGGGTAGCAGTTTGGTCTGTAAAATCAAGCAGACGGCTGACACAAGCTATGCAACCTCTGTCGTCAGACACGGTCCGGATGGAGGGGAATTGCTCTGAAAAATCAGACTTTCCACGCTAACTTATGTTCTGACCTCCCTTTTTTGTATAACCGTAATATCAAAATATTCTGAGCAACTTTCAGCTTACAACTGGATTGCCTCAGCCGCACAAGGCCTGCCTGCCCTGACAAGCAAGCACTGCCCCAGGGTGAAAAAATTCCCCTGAAGTCAAGTGACTTGACTACTGTCTGATTAAAAGCAAAAGGGCTGTTTTTGCAAAGTCTCTCTCACTGCCAGATGGAGGATAACCCAAATCTTATCATTCTATCATCTCACCTAGCCTTCTATACAGCTTTTTAAAGAATTACTCAAACTTCCTATTGTTTGGCCTTGAGATGTGGAAATTCATCCAGGTTGCCTGTTTTTTAAAGTAATCAAGTTTTCCACCTACTACACCTTAAAGGAATCCACAAAAGCCTTCTGGCTAGTTTTTCAGGATTCTATTATGTAGTCTTTAGATAAAGAAATCCACCTATGTCTCCTATTCAGAGACTTGATTAACAAGGAATTTCCTCTTCTGTCTCCCAGGATGATTCAGGCAGAAAAACAAAAACCCATTAAGTAGTAGATAAGGTTTCTGGGGCTTCTATCTTAGTTGATCTCCACTATAGTAATATTAGTCATAAACTTTGTGCACCTATGTGCTTGTTTTTAACCTTGATTGATTTTGGAATGTTCTATCTCAGCTAAAGGGCAATACGACCCTAAACTGTTCTTAGAAAAAAAGATGATTGTAATCTCTCAGCCCAGTTCGTGTGCTGATGTCATCTCACTGCTTGCTCGTAATGTATAAAATAAACCTCTGCTAAAGGCAGAGCAGGAAGACTTGCACCCAACTCCGACTCCCGTGTCTTCCTCGCTCCCCTTTCCCCTTTTTTCTCCCTTTCCCCCTTTTTTAGGACTCTCCACTCGCCGACGCCTTCCCACCTTAGGGTCCTGCCTGTCTTGCCTCCAGACACTTCCAACAGCCGGCCTCAGGCTGCTTAAGCACATCGGCGCGGCCCTCCAGGCTGCTGTGAGGCTGCAACCGGTCAGTGCATCAGGGCACTCAGAATATGGAGGGGACGCCCAGTACTGTGTGGCTTCTAACGCCAACAAGTACACAACACCTCTGAAATAAGCACGAGGGGTCCCCTTGGTGAACTAAGGGTTAAGTCTCAGCGCTTTCGACACTGCAGCCTGAGTTCCTGAGTTTGCTCTGGCCCGGGAGCTAATCCACAGGCACAGCAGACTTCTCTCTCTTCACCCCCCAGCAGGATACTTCGGTAGAGCCGCCTGCACTGCTGGTGAATCCTCTCACCCCCCACATCTCTGGCTACATCCCAGGTCTTCTATGCAAAAATCAGTAAACCTTTAAAAAACATATTAAATAAGCATATGAAAACCAAAATACCGAGTCTGAGGCTGCTTCCCATGGAGTCGGCTGATAGACCATGAAGTTGATCCCGGCCTGCAAGCAGCGCTCTGCCAGCACCCGGCCGATGCTCTCGCAAGCCACCACATTTTTGGTGCTATAGAGGTGCTTTTTAATTGCCCACTCACGAGTGGACGCTGAAACTACCACCTGGCCACTCCAGTGCTCGACGACAGCTTCAACGTGATGCTGAGTCCTTGTAACTCGCAACCTGAAGGCGGAGAGAGGAGAAAGACAGACGCCTTCAGGTCAATACTCAAGACTGCAGCGTGTGGTCCATGAGCTTTCAGGACCCCAGGGACCTTCCCCAGGATACGCCAGGGTGCTCCACTGTAGATGGTCAAGCAAAAGCTGGTATTTCTGAGAGTGGAGAAGTATCTACACAGCTTCTTCTTCAAAGGATTTGAGGAGGCAAAGCTAAGTTGGTGACTCTACACTGGGTTAGGCTGTACTAATGCTGTGCTTTTATTTTCTCGAGAACATCAAAATAAATGTAAGATGCGTTGAAATTTAAATGTGAAAATGTAAGTCAAGAGTACTAGAAGATGTAGAAGAACACGTTCGTTAGCTAAGTCTAGTTAAATATGACTTCAAACCCAGTCATCTGGCCTTTATTTTAAAAAATTGACAGTCTACCAAAAGATCTCAAAAAAAAAAAAACAAAACAAAACAAACCCAGGCCCACAATAAGAAGTATGAAACAAAAGTATTTTAAGTCATAAATTGTTCAAAGGGTTAATTTCCATAATATGAAACAAGCCTATAATCAATCAGTAAGTGGGGCCTTGGGCCCTCCCTGGTGGTGCAACGGGTTAAACTGCAGACTGTGAAGCTCGCCACTGCAGCACTAGTTAGATCCCCGGCCAGGGAGTGATCCACATGGTGTGGCAGACCTCTCCTGTCTCCCTGCTGTTCCCTTTAGCAGTGTATTTCAGTAGATCCGCCCTTTTTGCTCCCCATTCTCTTAGTAAATCCTCTCACCCCCTGCACCTCTGGCCTACACGCCAGGTTACCAACCAAAAATAAATGAAATCTTAAAAAAAGACCAATAACTTAACAGGCCAAGAATTTGAACAGAACAGAGAAAAGAAAAATACTGACTCTTAAACTCATGAAAAGATGCCCTAAGTTACTTATAAAATGTATGGGCAAGACAATTCATGACAACAGTTTGCAATAGTAACAGATAATTATAATTATCAACAGGGACCAATGAACTAGAACATCCAAGCAATGTTTTCTATAGTTACTAAAAGAAATGAAGTAGTACTTTATGAGGCTAATAGTAACAAAAACCAGTCGCTGGTGTAATTATTTAGGACAGAGAGCTGTGTCCCCAGTCTCTCCACACCGCCCCCTCCCCCTTTTTTAAGCTACAGAAAGAGAAAGGTTAAGTAACTTTAGCAAGATCATAATTGAGTTGAGTAATGGAGCCAGGCTTTTTTCCTCCAGGGGGCTGGTTACAGTCAATGCTCCTCACCACCACCAAAGATACCCAAGACTATCTGTAAGCACCGGGAGGGTCAGGGAGGGAGATCATGATACAGAAGCCTGTCAAGGTTTGCTAGGACTGATCGCGAAAACACCCTTTTGGGTTTTGTAATATAATACTAGGTATATATGACACACTGGAAATGTAAGCTCATGTTAAAGAAAGCACTACAGTGTCAGATTCTCACTTGAAAAGTGGGCTCCTCTGGTGTAGCTGCCAACAACCCAGTCAAAATCCCAAGCTCAAACCAGAGACTGGCAGTTTTCCCTGAAGGGGCCTCGCACTGGGCTTGGCGGCCTCCACGATGGGCAACTGGGAGCGCAGCTTCCGGCTTCCAGAGAGGCCGGCGGGCACCCAGTGCCCGCACTAACACCATCCACTGGAAATTTTCTCCCCGACGCCCACTTATTTACTGTCTGGTCCTCGCTCCAAATCTCCCGCACGCCGGCTGAAAGGTGAAAGCGCTTGCAGGGCCCCAGGTCCAGGACTCGCGGCTCTCACCTGTGCCAGAACTCCCGGGAGGGCCACACAGTCCCCCAGCCCCGCTCCTTCCTGGCCACACCTAAGAGCTCCAGGTTCCGCGGGTTCCGGTTGGTGAACTCGGGCGCCACAGCTTCATTTCCCAGCGGGCTCGCTTCAGGCTTCGGCGCCGGCTTGGCGCGGGTGGACACGGCGGCGACCCCAAGCCCTAAGAAATGCAAACACCAGGCGGCTCTTTAAAAAATGCCAAAACCCGGCCGAAGCCCTTTCCCCGGGCAGCCCCCCAGTCTTCGCACCCTAGAAGGGGGACGCAAAGTATGTGTGGGCACCGGATGTGATCATCACACACCTCCTGCCGCTATCGCCACCAGGCTGCCGGCTGCTCTGCTCTCCGGGGAGCATATCGGGCAGAAAACGGGCCCCGTGTGTGACACTGGCAGGGCAGGGTCCGGGAAGTGGTGGGAGACTGACAAGCCACATTACCGGGGTTCCTGCAAACCGATAAGCACGCCCACAACCGCGGCCGAAGCGCCATCTCCGGTGGATTCGCGGGCAAAGATTCCCGCAGCCTGGCTCCCTTCCTCACCGGCCCCCCAGCAGAGCGCTGGGCGCAGCCATATTAGCTCAGGGAAAGGTCTTGGGGTCGCCCGTCCGCGGCGCCGGAACGGACAAGCCTGCTGCCGCTGACTGGCCGGAAGAGCAATCTGTTATCTGCGCTCTCCAATCAGCGCCTCCGCCGGGCGGCTGCCGACGCTGCTGCCGACCAACCACCTTGCGGGAAAGTGCTGGGGGGTGGGGCGCGAGCTTCCGGTTTACACGGAGCTCGTGCAGGAGTCCCGCGTCAGAGGCGCCTCGCGCCATCTGGGCGTCAGGGTGCAGAGCTCGCGCCGATCGCTGTCAGATCCACACACCCCTGTCACGAGGATAAGGGGAGCGGGCGATGCACTTTTGCCTCCGGAGACCACCTTGCCCCGTCCTTGCCGGATTCAGCCCCCCCAGCTGCCAATCAAGAGGCCTCCAACAGTGACCTGCGAGCGCCCCGAGCACGCCGCCACACTTGCGGGGGACAGGAAATGCTTGAAAACTAACGCGCAGAACTCGTTCTTCTACCTTAGAAAAGGCGCCCCCACCCCATCACAGTCCCAAGCTCCTCCCAAGCCTTTTCTAGAAGGCGCTAGAATAAGCAAGTGCGCATGCCCAGCCCTACCTCGCAGGAGGGCGGGGGGAACGGAAGGTGGAAACCAGCCGAGAGCCAACTTGGTCCCCGGTTGTGACCGACTTCCGTCCTCTTCCCTTCGCGCTCCTGCCGTTTGCTCTCCAATTGGACAAAAATCCTAAGCCCGCCCCTTCCATCGTCACTTCCTGCTCGTCGCCCTTGTCTGCGTCCTCCCCTTCCCTTCCCGCCCTGCCCCGGGGCAGGGGTGGCGGTGTTCCCAGCAGCCCTCGCGGCGTTTCTCCGGCCGTTCCACGCCGTCGTGTGGCCGCCGCCCGGCCTCGGCAGCGAGACGCCGGTTTCCCGCGGAGCCAGCGAGCCTCGACGTGCCCCCTGCCGCGAAGATGGAGGGGCCTTTGTCCGTGTTCGGAGACCGCAGCACTGGGGAGGCGATCCGCTCGCAGAACGGTACGGGCCGCAGGCCTGGGCCGCGTCGGCCGCCGAGAGCCTGTTCTCTCCCGGCGGGAAGGGCCCGTCCGCGGGGAGGAGGCTGTTCCGGCCCGCGCTGCAGGGCGGGCGGCTGTCCCTTGGCGGGGGCAGCTCGGGGTGCAGCATGGCTTTTGGACGACAACCGTCCCCGACGTGGGGAAAGCCTGGGGAGGGAGCCCCGCGGGCCGACACGTGCCGGTCGCGCCTGCCCGGGGCCGGGCCCCCAGCCCCCCTTTTGTTCCGATTTCTCGCCGGGGTTTATTTCGACTTTGGGACTACGTTTGGGGATCGCTGAATAAAACTAGCAGCAGCTGCTCGTCTTAATGGGAAAAGAACGGCCTCGGTTTAGAAGGCCGCCCACCGGACCCCACCGGTTACCTGCGGGAGGCCCGGGCTCGGATCCGGAACCGACCGTCACCCACCTGTCGCTTGTCGCTGTTAGCCGACCAGCTTTCCACTGAGTTAGTTCGCGTACACGACGCGCAGTGAGTTTGATAAACATTCATGGCAAATTTAGCGTTTGGGTCTCCTTGGAGAAGGTTTACAGTTCGACGTCTTGGAAACGTGATTTTACCGTTACTGGATTACGGGTATTTGTCATCGACAGGTTTGAAAAGAGCACCTTAACTAGGACAGATTTGTAGATTTGGGGAATTCTGAAGTTGCTCGTTATTTACTTTAGGCAGAAATAATTTTCCTTTAGAATAGTGGATTTTCCAGTTTCTTTTTCTCCTTGTCTACAGTTATGGCTGCAGCTTCTATTGCCAATATTGTAAAAAGTTCTCTTGGCCCAGTTGGCTTGGATAAAATGCTGGTGGATGATATTGGTGTGAGTATACTTATTGTGTTTTTCAAAAAGAAAAAATAATCCTTGTAATATCTTGCTTTGTATGTTTGACTTTTTTTGTTTTTAAATTTACTTTTATATCGTTATTCATTGAATTTGTTTTATTTGCTAGTGTTGGGATCTAGAGATGGATGGTACCAAGACGGGACTGTTAATTTAGGGTGATTTGTTTCCTCTCTGCTGCACATTTTAGGATGTAACCATTACCAACGATGGCGCAACCATTCTGAAGTTATTGGAGGTAGAGCATCCCGCAGCGAAAGTTCTTTGTGAGTTAGCTGATCTGCAAGATAAAGAAGTGGGAGATGGAACTACATCTGTGGTAAGCAGAAGGGCTGAAGACCAGTTAGTTTTCTAAAATCAGACTTACAGTAAAGTCATTTGTATCTGGGTCAGAAATTAATAGAACAAAAAAATTCTTACGTAGTGATTCAGAAACAAAATTTGAAATGTGGATAAAGTCGTACAGTTTAAGTGGAAAAGAATTCTCATCTAATTTTATGTAACCTGTTCATTCTGAATGTTTTTCCTCAAAAAATAATTATTGCAGATAGGCAATCTCATGAATTCCAAAGGGGAGTTCAAGGAGGTCAGTAAACATGGTGTTCAGCGTTGTATTCTAAAGACACAAGCAGTAATCAGGGGAAAGGAGGGGGGTGTGTGTTATGAAAGACTGGAACTTGGCTTCTTCTAAAATAATGGAAATTCCTTTGTCTGAGTCACTTGTTCCTGTGGTTGGGGGGCTGGAGGGCAAGGCTGTGCCCTTAGGCTTCAGGTGCAGGTGTGTGGCCTCTGCTGTTGTCAGCTCAGCCAGAACAGTTTTCTGCCTTTGACCATTTGTGTCTAAAACACTCCAGAGGGGTTGGTTTGTACCGCAGGTTTCTAGTAATCATTCCTTTCTCTCCCTCACTACCACGGGCTGCTTAGTACCTGATGGTGTTAGTGTTGCTTTTATGATGCATTGTGCAGAGTGAGTGTCAGGCTGACGGGAGAGTGATGAATGTTTTCTCAACAGGTTATTATTGCCGCAGAGCTTCTAAAAAATGCAGATGAACTAGTCAAGCAGAAGATTCATCCCACATCCGTTATTAGCGGCTATCGACTTGCTTGCAAGTAAGCGTGTTGGTAATCAAGGTTTTGTTGGGGTAGTTCTAGGGGGGTTACATTCTTTGGCTGATGACTAGCTCTTGAGAATGTTGTAATGTAAGGGCTAATTAGCAACAGTGAAAATGAGAAGTAGGCCCTTTTGTTCCCATTTGACTGCCACATTTTCTCCTCAGTAGATTTTAGTGGCTATGCTTGTGGGATAGATTAAAATTGCCATGATCTGAAGAGGGAGGGTTTATTTGTGTCCTCCTCCTATATGAAATGGCTGAACAGGAAATTGGTGCCTGTGACGTTTTTATGTGGTGTTAAATTTGATGAAGCTGCAAACATTTGCATGGTGAACTAGTGTTTTCTTCCCCCACCCCCACTTTAAATAGGGAAGCAGTGCGTTACATCAGTGAGAACCTGATTATTAACACAGATGAACTTGGAAGAGATTGCCTGATTAATGCTGCTAAGACATCGATGTCTTCCAAAATCATTGGGATGTATCCTTGCTCAGTAAGCTTTAGGCTTTGAATTTGTGCACTAGTCATGGCTTTTTGTGCCAGATGGTGCTGTTTTGAAACTATTCCCCTTCTTGCTTTTCTGTGGGAAAATACAACGTAAAAATAGGATGAGTTGTAGCATTTTGATGGGACCAAGGAAGTCCCTTGGAGTTACCCTCCATTCCCACATGCACTTTTTGTCAATCCCAGTTCTCTTTTCCTTAACTATTGACTTAGAAATGGTGACTTCTTCGCTAATATGGTAGTGGATGCTGTACTCGCTGTTAAATACACAGATGCGAGAGGCCAGTCTCACTACCCAGTCAACTCCGTTAATGTTCTGAAAGCCCACGGGAGAAGTCAGATGGAGAGTCTGCTGATCAGCGGCTACGCACTCAACTGTGTGGTGGGCTCGCAGGGTAAGGCGCTGGGTTTGGCCCTGTGACGAGCAAGGGTTGGTGTTTTGTGGGCTACACTGTACAGCTCCAGGGGTGCACAGTGGTCTACAATGGCCTGAAGGGGAGACATGTCTAAGATAAGACGTGTTTAATGCCACTATGATGCGCTTAAGTGTGATGCGTTAGAACTTAAGTTTTAATTTCCTGTATATATACATTTAACATTTCTGTGTTTTTTATGCTGTGAGAGTAGATGTGTTCTATAAAATGTAGCATTGTTACGGGTGCAGTAAAGGAATTTAATGTTGTATTCAATTACAGGCATGCCCAAGAGAATAGTTAATGCAAAAATTGCTTGCCTTGACTTCAGCCTGCAGAAAACAAAAATGAAGCTTGGTGTGCAGGTGGTGATTACAGACCCTGAGAAACTGGACCAGATTAGACAGAGGTATGTCAAGTGACTCTTAGTCTTTGAAAATGGTGTTTGTAATTACTCTGTTTGGTGCTCTGAGCACAGACACGCCATTCACTGCATGTGTCTGTCTTGGAGGCCTTGAAAATTTAACATTCTAACCGAGGTCAAGCTTTTGCTTTCTTTTTATGTAAACCTCCAGAAAAATTAGAAAATGTGATGGCATTTTAAGAGATTTTTGGTTGTATGACCACAAAACCCACCTATTGTTGGGGAGCTGTGGCCTTCGGGATGTGCTGGTTGAAGATAGGCGGGGCTTTATTTACCCGGTTGCCCCTGCGCTGGCCAGTCGGTGTAGACTGGGCCAAGGGCGGGTGGGGGGGTTGTCACGTAGAGAGCTGGTGGGGGGAGGTGGTTTGGCTGGTCCTGCGTGTTTTGGCCGTTTACACGTGGCCCATAGAATGGCTAGATCTTTCCACTGCGGACACCTGCTGTGCCAGGTGGGCTGCTCCGCCTTGCGATCACGCATGTGCGTCCTCCCTGTTGAGGGCCTGTCCCTCTAGAATAAGTGTTCTGGATCCTGTCGCCTCCTGCCTTGGAGTGTTGCTAAATTGATCTTTCTCGCCTGCGTCCGTCACTAATTCTACTGTTTTCTTTAGACATTCTACTTATAACCTCTTTTGTCCTTAAAAGCATCTTTCACATGTCCCTCGTTCCTCCCTGGCCTTCCCCATCTCTTGACAGCCAAATGTCCCCAGACATACCCCGTTCAGCTCCTATCCCTTTGCAGCTTTGACCTCTTCCCATTTCCCTTCTCCATGCCCAGACTATTCGAGAAGCAGCAAGCTGAGCTGCTCCCTGGGTTTTGCCCTTCTCCCTTTCTTGGGCTGTTTTCCCTGTAGCAGCAAAGGTGATGGAACAAGACTAGGCTTCAGAGCCTTCCAGGCTCTCCGTTCCTTCCTTCCACACTCTTCCCTAGAGTCCGGCTTCCACTAAAGCAGTCTGCTTCCTTTGCTGTGGTTCACCATGCTTCTGACTCAGGCCCTTGAGGAAATGTTCCACCCTTGTTTTGGCTAATTTTTCTCTTTTTAGATTAGTTGCCAAAAAGCCTTTCTTCCCACAGTCTAAATTACACCCTGCCATGGTCCTCACACAGTGTCTGCATGACTGCGACTTTGAGCTTTCCAGGCAGAGACCACTGACCCCGAGCTTCGTGGCCCAGTCTTTCGTATGGTGCCCGCACACTGCTAGTTTGTGTGAACAGGAACATTCTTCAGGAGTCTGGATGAGAAATGACTCCAGTCATACAGCAACTGTTACCAGATCTGTCTCAGGCCCAGGCTGTTCATGGACTTTCAGCTTCTCATTCAGCTTCCACCATGGTTTTCTTTCACTTCCTGGGTCAGTGTCTGAACCTCCCTGTTAATCCGGCCTTGAGCTTGGGCTTCTCTTCAGCTCATCTGTCCTCATCATACTCCTCTATCCAGTTGTTCCCTCCTCGCCTCTGCTGTATAGTTCCCCCATTAACATTGGGGTTCTTTTGAACAGATTTGGTCACAACCATTCTTGAAAGCAGATTCAGCCCTATCTACCCAGACTCGCTGTGCCTGTAGGGTTCTTGATCACAGAAGGGGCTAATGGGGTTGCTCAGCTGCTTTCTCTCCACAGAGAGTCAGATATCACCAAAGAGCGAATCCAGAAGATCCTGGCAACCGGGGCCAATGTTATTCTGACCACCGGTGGGATTGATGATATGTGTCTCAAGTATTTTGTGGAGGCTGGTGCTATGGCTGTCAGGCGAGTTTTGAAAAGGGACCTTAAGCGCATCGCTAAAGCTTCTGGAGGTATGTCTCCTGCCGGTGCCCTGTTCATGCACGTGACCCTGCTCCTGTGTGGTGCGTGGTGACTAGATTCGTGTACAGTGGGGCTGTACTTACTGAAGCTCTCCACCTCAGGATGACATGGTGAATTCCATTTTAGAATAAAAGGATGGTGGTTTGTCTGATAGCTCCTTACTATAAACTTGTGTTTACATATTACTTTAACTGTATTTAAGACAGGGTGTGAAAATGTCAGTGGGAGAAGAATGTTTACCTATTTTTGTGATTGTCTTCATAGCAACTATCCTGTCAACCCTAGCGAATTTGGAAGGTGAAGAAACTTTTGAAGCTTCAATGTTGGGACAAGCAGAAGAGGTAGTACAAGAGAGAATTTGCGATGATGAGCTGATCCTGATCAAAAAGTAAGCGACTTTTTAAGTTATAAAACTTGCTGATTTTGTATCATTGTAAAGCTACACCCCCTTCCCTTCCCATTCATTTGCTGCGGTAGTCTTCCGTGACACAAGCAGTTATACGCATGGGATACAGGAACCTTGGACCACTGTGAAGTGAGATGAAGTTGCCGTTTCATCTTGCCTGCATGGTCTGGACATGCCTGTTAGTTCAGCAGGTGTGACTTTTACGTCTCGTGTGAGCAGGACTGAGTTGCTGTGTCCTTAGAAAATGACCAAGTACTGACCTTTGTGTTCCTAATAGCACCAAGGCCCGGACCTCTGCATCGATTATCTTGCGTGGGGCAAATGATTTCATGTGTGATGAGATGGAGCGCTCCTTACACGATGCTCTCTGTGTGGTGAAGAGAGTTCTGGAGTCAAAGTCTGTGGTTCCAGGTGGGGGCGCCGTCGAGGCGGCCCTGTCCATCTACCTGGAGAACTACGCCACCAGCATGGTAAGCACAGAACACAGGGTTCTTCTCTGGGAGGGGGAGTGGCTCTTCCGACTGCATGCCTGTGTTGTATTGTCTCCCCATGGAAATACCTGTTTTACCTCTTTAGGGGTCTCGGGAACAGCTTGCTATTGCAGAGTTTGCAAGATCTCTTCTTGTGATTCCTAACACACTAGCAGTTAATGCTGCTCAAGATTCCACAGACCTGGTTGCAAAGTTGAGAGCTTTTCATAATGAAGCTCAAGTTAACCCAGAACGTAAAAATCTAAAATGGTAAGTATACAGTCTCCCCAGCTTTTTTCAGTGTTACTGTGGACGAGTCCTGTGTTGTGTGGTCATTTGTTTTTTAAATCCATGAAGGGTGATGCCTAGTGATTGTTAGCGTTGGCACCTCTAACAGCTGACTCCTGTCTGGGGCCTGGTTCTCTGGGTTGTCAGAGACGCCTTGGAGACCTAGGGGAGGTTAAGCTCTCTGTGTCCACACAGACACTTAGAAAGTTATTTTAGTACTACCTAAGCCTTTTAACAGTGATTAGGTTATAATGAGGTACTTTAACCTGGAAAGGTAGGGCCCGGACCGGCTCCGCTGTAGCAGCTACACAAATCAGTGATTTGACCTGGGCGGGGGTGGGGGAGGAGGGTCACTTTTAACGATTGTTTTTCCTAAATTGCAGGATTGGCCTTGACTTGATCAATGGTAAACCTCGAGATAACAAACAAGCAGGGGTGTTTGAACCAACAGTAGTTAAAGTTAAGAGCTTGAAATTCGCAACAGAAGCTGCAATTACCATTCTTCGAATTGATGATCTCATTAAACTACACCCGGAAAGCAAAGATGATAAGCACGGAGGTTACGAAGATGCTGTTCACTCGGGAGCCCTTGATGACTGATCTGGTTTCTCTTTATTTATAACAATGTTAGATGCAATTGTCTTGCCCTTGAGTATTACACATTAAAGAGTACTGCACTAGTAAACCTTGGTTCTGGATGGTTCCCAGCCTCACTTTGGTCCTCTGATTTCACATAGTATAGAGCTTAAATGCATTACTGGCATTTAAAAAAAAAAGGTTAAAATTTAGTTCGTTTCCTGTTTTCCCCACACCCCACCTCGTCTCTGCTGTGTGGCTTCACCCTCGCTGCACACACATTGCTATCCCCATCCCACCCCCAATGCACAGGGCAGCGACACCGCGGCGTCCACCCGTCCGCTCCATCGTGTGCAACAAGGTGACAAGAATCCGACAGCCAGATGCTCCCAGGGGGTGGCCCAAGGCTATCGCCCCTCCTTGCACGTTGACCTAAAAGGGGGAAAGGTGTCTGTTACTGTCTGTGGACACATGGTTAAATCCAAAGTCTCCTTAATATGCCAGGAGACTGCGCTTTTCAAATTTCAGCGGCTTAGGAACTAATCCCACCTGAGGTCTGTCCTGACGACCTTTATTTACGAATTTAAACACCCTGTTCACATTTGAATTCATCCATTGGAGGCGCTTTGCCTCGGGAAGCAAACGAGTGAGCGGCCGAGTCCGCACAGGGCCAGCTTGGCGCCCGCTCTGTGCAGCAGTGCCTGGCACCGTGGCGACAGGCGCATTTTGCTCTCTACACCCTTAGGCCTCACGCGGACAGTTCACTGGGAGCTCTGGGGATGACCTGATCCAACATTACCTTCTCTGGGTTTAATCCAAGTTCTTTAGCTATGGCGACAGAGAGAGCTGCAAAGGCTTCATTGATCTCAAATACATCAACCTCTTCCAGTGACCAACCTGCTTTAGCCACCTAGAAGATGAAAAGGAGAGTCCTAAACACCCAGCCTCAGACAGGATGCACTGTGGTGCTCAGGGACCAAACTGGCAGTGGGTGTCCCTGTGTTAGTGGTGGCTCAACGTCTTGCTGGGTGGCTTCAACTAAAAGGTGAACTGGGAAAGGCGATACATGGAATGAATCCTCTAAGTGGTGAGCCCAGTGAGCCTGGCTGCTCCGGGGAAGACCAGATTGAGCAGTATAAATGAGGCTCACTTAAGACTAACAGGCAAGCGGAACAGCTGAGAACAAGCTCATCTGAGTGGAGAGGTAACCAGAACACAGGTTTCCACGCGTAAGCCAACGTGGAGCTAAGGTTACTGGCCTGGCCCCGACGAGTTCTAACAGAGGTTCAGAGCAGACTCACCGCTTGCTTTATTGCCGGGATCGGTCCTGTCCCCATGATGGATGGGTCTACGCCCACCTGGGACCAAGAAACGATCTGTGCCAGAGGCGCGAGCCCGCGGCTGGCAGCGGCTGACTTCCTCATGAGAACCACCGCTGCGGCGCCGTCGTTGATTCCTACCAAAGAGGGGTATCTTGATTCCTAAATGCTTGCCAGCGCTTACAGCCCATGTTACACTCAGTGCAGTGGCAAGGCCAGCTGCTGTAGTGCAGACAGCAGTGTGAAGGACAAAGCTCACCGACAGGACGCACCCACAAGCACTGCCTTCCCCCACAGGAGAAAGTGGGAAGATTAAAGCAACGGGGAGCAGGGACTAATGAAACAGAAAAAGGCCCAGAGCTCAGGAGACACCAGGGATTTCTGGAAAAGTGCCCCCCATTTTCTTCTATGTCCAGTTAAGTCCATGTTTCAGTAAAGCTCAAGTCAAGTGCATGTGGAAAAATAAGTGAGGACCAAACATACGGGAGTTAAAATGTTCCCCCAAAGCAACTGAAGTAGAACATTTGTGTCTCGTTAAGGAGATGAGACAACCAGGTAACTAGACCACTGGGCATTCCCCACCCGCCCTTCAGAAAACCCACCAGAGGCATTTGCGGGGGTCACGGTGCCGGTGCCATCCGTAAGGAAGTAAGGCTTGAGCTTACACAAGGCCTCTAGATTGGTCCCATGTCGAGGAAACTCATCTGTTTTCACCTCAATTGGACCTGAAAAAACAATCAGTCAACCAGGGCCTCCCTGGTGGCTTGGGTTAATCGCGCTATGCAGCTGGCCACAGCCACTGCAGCTTGAGTTCAATCCCCGGCCAGGGTCCAGCAGACCCCTCCTGTCTCCCTGCTGCTCCCCTCACCAGTGGATTTCACTACATCCGCCTCTTCTCCCCACTCTGGTGAATCCTCTCAAGCCCCTGCACCACTGACCTGCACCCCAGTTCTTGGGTGCATAAATACAATCTTTTTTTTTTTGCATAAATACAATCTTTTAAAAAAAAAAAAGATAAAAAGATTGGGCACATGTTAAGCACAGCACTACAAAGCTAGCCACAGCCGCTTTAGCATGAGTTTGATCCCCAGTCAGGGACGTGACCCACAGCGCGGCAGACCTCTCCTGTCTCCCCACTGCTCCCCTCAGCAATGTACTTCGTCGATCTGCCTGTTCTGCTCCCCACTCTGTCTCTGGTGAATCCTCTCACCACCTCTGGCCTGTACCCCAGTTCTGTACACATAAACAAATCTTTAAAAAAAAATAGTGAAGATGATAATATGTGAGGAACAGCGTGAGGCATGAGAAACTGCTTGCAACTCCAGTAGCAGCCAAATACACACTAAGAACCCCTGGGCGTTAAAACACGTTATGAGGACACATCAGGAGACGATTCAGTGTTTTCCAGCTCCTTTCTGAGATCTAGTAGTTCTGGGAGCTCTGTCCCAAAGGCTGCTGTGGTTTGGGGCCCAGTCTGGCCGCTGACTGGTTGCGAGCATGGATGGCACCTCTGGGTAATGACACCTGATGGAGCCTCTCCCACTAGATGACAGCAGTGACGCGGAAGCCCCCCCAAGGCACGAATGTTAGCACATCAGGCCTGGGGCAGGCCCTCCGGGGGCAGCGCCCGCTTCACCCACCCAGCTTCTCATGAAACCTGCTGACTACAAAGCAGCCGGAGGGACACCCTGGGCCCGGGGTCTGACAGCTGCCCAAGCCTCCTCCCCCATTACCCGCCCCCACCACACCCAGAGCTGTGTCCTGGCTCCTCGGCTGCTCCTACCTTCAACAATAACACTGCTGACGTGCTCAGCCTCTGCTGACGTGCTCACCTTTTCTAGAAGACACGAGGACCGGCACCACCTCCTTGTCAAAATGGCCAGCTTTCTGGGCGCTCTCTGTCCTGTTCTGGGACAGAACCGCAAGCTGGTCCTGCTCTTCTCTGCTCACTTGCCACTTTTTGGCTACATTTTCAGCTGTGAACAAAAACAATAAAGCAAACAAGCATAGTCAGAAACTGGCCTCGGACTGCTCGAGTCTTCACGCCTAAGCAGACGGCGAGGCGGGACAGGAGCCGCTGTGGGACTTGTCAGCCGCTGTCAGCCCGCTGTCTTCCTTCTCTCTCCCTTACTGTGCAATTCTTAACTTTTGGAAATTTCCTTCATTCAGATCCATCAGCGGTTTGTTTTCTGCTGCATTTGTTATTCTGTTTCTGAACCATTTGGGAGAAGTTACAGACAGCATGCCTTTTTATCCCTACATTTTAATTTCAGTGTATGTTCTCCTCAAAACCAGGCTCTTTTCTTACATAACCTCCACTACCAGAGGGAGGAAATTCAACATCAGCACAGTACTGTAATTCTTGCTTCATATCAAATGCCACCTGCTGTCCCAACAGTGCCAATTTATTTGCCTGGGCCACGATCCCAGGCTGTTTCCTGGTGCCTCTTAACCTAGATGTTCTAAGAGTCTCCATCAGTTTTTCTGCCAGGTTGATTTGTCTGTTTCAAATTAGAGTAAGATCATGCTAAAAGGGGTCGGGTCAGAGAGGCGCTGAAGTGCCACCAAATCAATCGTATGTATTCCTTCTCAGTGAGTCCTGTCAGGACGTCAGGGCTCAGGTGAGGACACATGTGGTCATTTGGCCGAAGTGGGGTGCATCAGGCTTCTACATGGTGCAAACCTGTCCTGACCCCCGCTGCTCCCTTCAGCAATGTACTTCGTCCATCTGCCTGTTCTGCTCCCGGCTCTGTCTCTGGTGAATCCCCTCACCGCCCCACACCTCTGGCCTGTACCCCAGCTCTGTGTGCAGAGGTAAATAAATCTTTAAAGATAAATAAGTAATTGTATGGAGAGAACGGTTCTATGAAATGATCCAACAACTCAACTTTGGGATTGTGGGACTTCTTGAACATTCCAAAGACTGAAGGGGGAGTATCTGCAGTCCCACATGGTTGGCTGTGTTTTTGTGTTTGTTTTTTTGGTGAGAACCTTAGGAGGGCTCCAAAGTTGGGTGGAAGCCGTGTTTGAAAGAGGCGCTTTTATGGAAACTTGGTGAAATAAGAAGCCACAGGGAGACCCAGGCTCTGCCTTTCCTCAGGGAAGGCAGACCCCAGGCTACACACCTGTACCCACCCAGCCCACCCGGCAGCCATGCCACAGGCCTGCCTCCCTCCCCACCCAAGTCTTTCTGGCCCAGAGAAGAGATTTATAATGACAACTGAAGCCACACAGGCAAGTCACTCGCTCACGCTGGGTCTCTGCCACGTGTGCAGGAGGGAAACGTGTTAGGACTTAACACGTTTGGCTTTTTCATTTGTAAAAAAAAAAATTGCCCCTTCTGTTCTTAAGTTCTACATTTTATGTAGTAAAGACACGAGTAGCTCTGATCTTCCAGTTGCCCTGCCAGTAAACCTAGCCTAGGGAACCTTCTAGATGGAGGACTAGTGAAGGCCTGCTTGGCCAGAGCAAGAACCAGGTAGCCAAGGTAGAAGTCTACCTCTGATATGGCCTTTACCACAACCACTACTTGTGGGCACTATGGTGAGTGGGAGACCGATGCAGGAAAAGTCAGAGGCACCCCACCTCTCCATTCCCTGAAAGTCAAGGAAAGGGCTGTCTCCTCCTCAGCGTGGCTCAGAGGAACTGTCTGTCAGAGGGTGCAGAGCGACCAGGGCCCCGCCCTTGAGGAGGAAAGCACCTGGCAGCCCAAGGCCTCACTTTCTTGCCTTCCCCTGGAAGCGCCTTCTCTGGCTCACCTGTGATGCCCATGTGGTAGCCGTGAAAGGCGTCCGTCAGCCCGTCCCGGAGGATGCTGTCGCTCAGCGGTGTTTCCCCCATCCTCACTCCTGCTCTTAGGTGGACCAAGTGAGGTGCCTGGAAACGAGCGCAATTGGGGTGGCCTGGCTGTCCCTTGTCCCTCGCTAGGAGGGCTGACCTCCCCAGTCCCAGGCCGCCTCCTCATGGGGTGCCTGAGCCTGCCGCAGTCAGCAGCCTACTCTGTCCTGCCCACTCCCAGGACCCTTGCCCCGCCACCGCATTCCGCCACACCCACTCTCCTGTGGCCCATGCCCTCATTCTTCTTTCCTGAAGAAACAGCCAGTTGTCTGTCCAACGCAGAGCTCACATGCAGGCCGGGGCGCTGACGCACTGCTCATCTTTGTAACAGTAATTTCTACTCAGGGAAACTGCAGGGCGGCAGCTCCCAGGCTCTCTGCAGTCTGGATAAAGGAGCATTCTGGAGCCAGCGGCGGCTTTGCTGCTCCTTCTACGCTACTGCTGTGAGGCGAACCCGCTGCTGCAGAGGCCAGGGCCAGGCGGCAGAGAGGCCAGGGCCGGGCGGCAGGGAGGCCAGGGCCGGTGGCTGGGAGGCCAGGGCCGGTGGCTGGGAGCCCAGGGCCGGGCAGCCTGTTCACTTTTGTCTCTGGGCTCTCTGGCATCACCTAGGCTGCTTCCCTGTGTCGCTCCGCCTCTGCAGTCTGAGACACTGTCTGCTGGCCTGGTGTGCGCACCTGCGCGCACTCCCTCCAGGTGTCAACCATCACAGCCTGCGCTCGCCAGCGCCTCCTGCGCGCCAGGCCACCGGTGACGCCAGAGGCCAGCGGCGCACTAGCCTGAGCGCCAGTGACCCACACGGCGCCTGCAGCGAGAATAACCGGGCCGCCTAATTTAGCGAGCGGGAGGGCCTTCTGGGGTCTTTTTAGGGCCACAAGCTCTGCAGCAGCTCCAACAGTGACAGGGCAGGCGGTGTGTCTGGACCCAGGCTCAGCCTGTCTCCTTCCCTTACTGGGATCCAACCCCTCCCCCAGCAGCCAGCCTCGCGGACACTGCCCGGCACAGTGTTCGCTCCTGTGTGCTGCGTCCAGCCCATCTCCTCCTGAACCTCCAGAGCGGCTGAGCTGAATGCCCCCCCAGGGGAGCACCAGGCCAGGACGGGGGCTGCCTGAGGGAGCAGGGGGTGCTTTTAGCTGTGCCAACGGGCCAGGACAACAGGCCTGCCAGGCAGACCCAGTGCCAACCTGCCCTCCCGCTGCCGTCTCGCCCACATTCTCTGCCCTGTGAAGGATAGCACCAGGTTCTGCTGCGCACGGCAGCGAGATAACTGGCCACACCTGCTCTCGACCTCGCCTCACAGTGAGAAACCGATGGGGGACAGTAACTAACGCACAGGTTTAGTCCAGGAAATAGTTTTGCTCCAGTTAGAATGTAGAAGACATTCTCTTCCCATCTCACTGCTTGACAGCATTTCCTTCAGCTGGCTTCTCCCCAAACGTAGGACAGTCTACGTGCAGGAGGGCTGACTCCACCTGCGGCTCCTTCTTTACGGCCGCGTCCAGCCAGCCTATCTGCCCTGCTCTCAGGGACGCGGGCCTACCACGCAAGGCTAGTGCCGCGCCCTCCGGGGCCTCACCTTGCTCATGCTCTCCATGCCGCCGGCCACCACGATGCTCGAGTCGCCCACCCCTATGGCCTGCGCGGCCAGGCACACGGCCTTCAGGCCCGACCCGCAGACCATTTGGCAGCTCCATGCTGGAACGGAGTAGGGGACTCCAGCACCCACACTGGCCTGGCGAGCTGGGTTCTGCCCACAACCTGGAGGAGGAACACGGACGCCTCTTAGCGATCAAGGCCAAAGAAAAGCTCTGTGCAGCCCCCCGGTGGCGCAGGTGTTAGAAACAGCACTGAAAAGCTGCTGCAGCCTCTGCAGTGCGAGTTCGCTCCCTGGCCAGGGGGTGACCCACAGGGCGCAGCACCCCCTCCTGTCTCCCCGCTGCTCCCCTCAGCAGTGTGCTTTGTCGAACTGCCTGTTCTGCTCCCTGCTCTGTCTCTGGTGAGTCTCTCACCCCCCCACCCCACCCCCACACACACTTCTGGCCTATACCCAGCTCTTTATGCAGAAATTTTTAAAAGATCATTAAAAAATAAAGTTTTTTTGTATGCAATACTTGTGGTGAGAAGTTATTGGAAGGGGACGTGTAGTGAGGGACTAGAAGGTTACCCTGTTTCTGGGTTTTTGTCTGAGTTGGTATGTTTCCTTTGTGGTCATTCCTTATAAACCTGGGTGGACTTTTCTGCATATATTTTGTATCAGGATAAAAGAATTAAAACGTTCAAAGAAGACAGTAAGTGTTCTGGCCTCCTGACGGCGCCCACAGAAGCAGGCACTTCTGAGTGAACACAGCCTGAACAACTCGGCCGCTCGTCCTAAGGCTGCGGCTTCTGTGAGCCGCTCTCAGGTCGCTGGGAAGAGGTGCTGGCCGGGACATCTGTGAAGGAGACATCTTCCCTTGCTCTTTTCATCACTCCATGAGCAGCTGCTTGTACATGCAAACTCAGGGGTGACATACCTTTCCAAAATTCAACCCTGGGGCCCGCCCTCAGGATGGGAAGAAACCCACCACACAGCTGAATCGCGCCAGCAGGGGGCTGAAAGCGCCTGGTGGCGTCTGCCACCCCGCCATCACCGGGGCCAAGCATGATGATGAAGCCCTCGCGCTCGCTTCTCAGGCTTCTCAGAGCTCAGGGGGAACCAGCACGGAGGGCTCGGGCTGAAACTGAGCCCCAGCCACCGCTGTGTTGCTAATCTGGGGCGAGGCTGGCGACGGGGTGCAGGCACACAGCAGGCCACGGCTGCGGAGGGCGAGGCCCGCGGGAGAAGGGGGCCAGGTGCAGGGGGGTGTGAGCGAGGCCGCAAGACTTGGGGGGAGGAAGAGAAGGGGCGACAGGAAAGCGCCGCATGGCGCTCTGAGGCTGGTTCTCGGCAGCCTGGCTGGGCACTGGTCTCCAGCGTGTGCTGTACAGACACTACCCCGGAGTCACTCGCCAACGGGGAAACTGGTGGTGGGGTCCCCTATGACGCGCAGTGAGGAGAGGGGCCAGTGTGAGGCCAGCTCTCTCAGGTCAAGCAGCCTTGGAGCACCCCAGGGGGCTGTGCTTCACACTCTAGCGAAGGCCCTTAAGAACAGGGGGGAAGCAGGAATCAGGGAGCGCAGAAGGTAAATACACAGAGAACGGCCACGCGGGCAAGAGCTGGCTGCAGTGTAGGCGCTTTGGGGTGGGCACCAAGCACTGTCAGGATCCATGATCCTGAGGGAACAGGAAGCCGGGCAATAACCAGCTGCTGGGACAGGTCAGCAGGGCGTCCACAGACTCCGGGAGAGCAGAGGACCCGGTGGAGTGAGCCCCAGATTCAGCGCTCCCCTGGACGGCGGGCCTCCCCCACCAGGAGAGAAGCCAGCCCCAAGGGTCAGGGGTCAGGACCCCCCCCAGCTGCCAGGCACCTGCTCCGCCAGCCACACCCAGTTCCCAGCATGTGTGGAACTTGTGACCCTTTGCAGGGGACAGAGGCCGATGTGGCCCCTCTGCCTAGACTGGCGCCCCTTTAAAGAGAAAAGGCTGCGGAGACTGCTCTGGAAAGTTAGGAACTGCACGGGTGAAGCTGGAGAGGAGCCACTGGCCGCGGGGCTGGGCGTAGGAAAGCTCTGGCCTGCCGCAGCCCGGCCAGGGCGGAGGCACAACAGCAGTTTCGCAAGCAGGCAGCCGCGGCGGGGCGCAGAGGGCCTCCCCACAAAGCTGCCAGGTCCGATTACCTGCGGCCAAGACGTGTCCGAGTATTACCTCCGACACCTCCTCGGGGGCCACGGCGGCCCGCTTCAGGGCTTCTCTGATGACAGTGGAGCCCAGGTCGTGTGCAGGAACGGTGGCCAAGGCGCCATTAAAGGAGCCTAGGAGAGAGGGGGCGCCGCGGGCAGTGAGGGGGGCGCCCCCGGGGGCTGGGGCGCCCCGCGGACGGGGAGTGCGGGCCGGGGCGCGCCCTTCCGCAGACCCTCGTCGCCGCTCATCGGGGGACAGGGCAGCGCGGGGGTCACAGCTGTCGGCCGCCGAGGCCCGGCAGGAGGCGCCCCCAGCACTCCTGGGGCCGCGAGCCCCCGGGGAACCTTCCCATTCATTCCCCGCGAGCGTGGCGCCGCGCTGCCCTAACAAAAAGGGCCCGCCCTGCCCGACCTCGCGCCCCGGGCCCTGCAAATGGACTGCCCCGGGGCTCGAGGCAGCTCGCAGCGACGCCCCCCGGGCCATCGCGACCCCTGCCCAGCGCCCGGCTCCGACCACCGCGGCCCCATCCCGGCCCCGAAGGCTGCTGAGCTGGCCAATCAGGGGCCTCGCGAGAGAGCGCCTCTCTCCGCCAGCCAATGGGAGAGCCGGGAAGCGCGGTGGCTCTACCCCGAGCGCCAATCAGAGCGCGCGGAGCGGAGAGGGCCTCACCGGGCGAGCAGGGGGCGGGCCCGCCGCGCGGACCCGAGAGGGGCGACGCGCCGGGGCTGGGGTCCCGGAGACCCCGCGACTCGAGCGCCGCGCCGGGCGCCGGCCACTCACCTATGACGGTCCGCGCCGCCGAGACGATAACCACAGGGTCCGAGGCCGCACTCATCTTGCCGCGCGACCACTTGTGCCACTACCACGGCCGGCTCCGAGGCAGAGTGAGGCGAAGCCCGGCCGGCCTGAGG